TAACGAGATCGTGTTTAAACCAACTGCACCGTTCGCTAGTCAAAGGATATACACATGCATGTCGTTGATTTGTGTGGACCAGATCCCTTCCAAAATTAAATACTCGGTATATAAGCGGTATATAAGAAAGTCGATATTTATAAGGTACATACATTCTGCACTCAAGTGACTTGACCAATTGGTCGAACACGTCTTCAAATATGTCTTATCGCGTGACCTATTTGTAATACAGATAACCTTCTGAGTTATTTAAAAGTCTTCATAATTGAATCACCCTGTCACGAAGCTCCCAATAAAAAAAAACATCTATATCGATATAATTACCCTTATAGGTATAATTGGTGCGTCAATTGTGTAAGGAATTGCCGTCAAACACACCATTTTTAATACATGCGTAGATATATGGAATATGTAGGAATTTCGATATAAATATAGGGTTCCTTCAGGAGGTTCGGTGAGCTGTGCCTTATATTTAATGCGTTTAAACTATTCAACTATGAATCTCAAATGAGGATAAGTTCAATGACATAAAATATTTCTTCTATCGATATGCATCCAATTATCTAAACGGTTATAGCTAAACACATGGTAGACCTTTCGACTAATAATATGGTTAGATGCTTGTTGTATATTCGAAATATTTCACTACATGTAAGACAGGTATAATCTTAAGTGAACTTACATATTTACTTATGAAATGAATTACGAACTCGCCGTTTTCTACTATTTGGCACCGCATGACCGTGTTAAGTTGATTGAGCGCCAATACATGTACCACCGTGTGATCCTTTATGGTCTATTGAATGTGTTAGGTTTACAGTTTCGCCCCGTTGATGGGCCGTCGAAATTACAGCGGGGTCTTATATGCATTGTGATTACGCATGCGTGTTCTGTGTTGATGGGCCGTTAAATATGTGTATAATGCAATTGTACCATTCACAATCAAATACTGTGCTTGTCAAGCAATATAAACGTTGTATTTGGACATATTCCATGAACACATAATAATTAGTAATAGATATTTCATGCACCTTGATATAAATCATGAATTCACTCACTACAAGAAAATTACAAGCGCCTGTATTGTACATTCTGTAGTTCAATTTCACTTATCAGACATACCTATATAGAATGTAAATTTACCTCCTGTGAAGTATTACTGTGAAATTGACACCTCATCCTAAGATCTGACATGCATACACCGTATAAATAACTTGAGCAAGGGCCGCGGTGGTTGAGTGGTTAAGTCGTCTGACATTCTGCGTCCACTAGCCCTCCACCGCTGGGTCGTGGGTTCCAGGCCTACGTGGGGCATGCGCAGTCGCCAGATACTGGCCGCAGGTCGGTGATATTTTCTTCGCAACCAATACATGTAATGTCCTTAAATGACCATGGCTGTAAATAAGACGTAACACACATGCAAACATGGGTAGGTGGGTGGGTGCATTGTGCATTTGTAAAGGTATTCTAAGTGATACGGATCCTTATTTCAAATGAACTATTGCATTGATGTTGTGTTACGGCGCAAACCGTACTATTTTCCAGTCAAGAAAGATGAAATCGCTCATCAAATGTAAAATGTCTTGCTTAAAAACAACCACATCGCGTCGTCGTATTTAGGATCCTAACCTACAACCTCATGGCTAATAAGCCGACGCACTACCGACTATGCCAAATTTCAGACTTAATTAATAAACGTCAACACAAGTAGTGCATGGACGTTTGTACAATCTTTTCAAACACGTTAACATTTTTTTTTTATTAATCTTGACCAAGGAAGAATTTGCAGCTATACGAAATATATTCTGTTTCGTGTACTTTAATAAATATTTTCTTTACAAAAAGTTGGCATGTAATAACTAATTTATGCTATTGCATAATGCCACATGAAATCATCGTGTTTCAATACAAATATGTCTCAATATAATATGACAGACTATGAAATTAAATTAAATCTATATAGACTTTATATCATACACCGTAATTCAATAAGATTTACCACAAGGAGATGTTAATTTCTTAACAAATATGACAAAAAAGGAAAATCTGTCAACAAAAATTACAGAACAAATATTGACAAATGATGAGGTTTTTACCTTGAATAAAAAGGATATCTAATCTCAATGCTCATTTACATTTTCGATCTCCCGTGTCCTTTACAAAGCCTCGTAATACGTTGGTATCGCCCAATCCCGTTACATACTCGTCATATATACAGAGGTTTTAAATTGTTAAGTAGTCTGTTTATCTGGGGGATTTTTAATAAAGTTTATATTTATTTAGTCATTCAGCGGACAAAATGAGCACTGTCGCCACCTACTTCAGTTAATCCTACGTCTGGGTTTTCAATTGGTCGGCGGTTTCACTTAACAAAAGAGACTTGTGTGGTCGAGAGTTTCGGCTATCTGTCTGTCAATTTAAACACTTAGATGTCAAAAATTGCATTGTGTCCATTTCAGCAGTTCAGTCTTTGCTATTGATGCCGATTTTAGTTAGCGAAATCCATTTCAGTAACATCGTAATTCAATAAGATTTTAGCACAAGAAGATGTTAATTTCTTAACAAATATGACAAAAAGAAAATCTGTCAACAAAAATTACAGAACAAATATTGACAATTGTTTCCTAATCTTGGTTACACGTTTCGAAAATGGCTCTACCAGATACCTCGCGTAACTGTAAAACGTACAACATATCACATAAATCTCGTCTCGAATACCTTAATTTACATTAGTGCTTCAAAATCCTTATTTCCGAGATTTGAATTCGGAAAATGAACAGAAGGCGATGTATAATTGAACATTAAACTATATTCTGGTCGGAGTCATAGCCCTGTTGTTCTCAATAGATTGCAGTTTATTGGCTATATATTTCTCAGTGAGTTTAGCTATCAACTAATCGTTCAAAATTAAAAATTATTTTTCAAATATTAGGCAGACTTTTTATAAATAAAGCAAAGTATCGGCTAGTTATTATCTCGAAAATATTTATCTCGTGTAAGTGTGCATAGATTGGTAAGATAAAAAGACACATTTCCTAACAATGAACAAACAAGACCTTGACGAGGCTCTTGGATACAAATTAAGCTAAGCGGAATCGGTCTGTCTATTAATTTATCATCTACAGGTGTGCATATGTTTAAAAACGAAACCATATCGACTTGTCCAATTGATTTGTTATCGCACATTTTAAACAAACAAATATTGCTAGGCGAGGTAACAGAGTACGTATCGTACTCAAGTTTGGTTTAGTATTGTTTAACGTCCTATCAACAGCTATGGCCATTGACGGACGGCCTCCCCTGTGTGCAAGATGCATGAGTGTAGTATATGCGTGTGTGTTTTGGGAGGTTACGATATGTTCGTTTTTGTCTCCTTGTGATAGAGCGGAACCGATGCCGACTTTATAGTGCTACCTCACTGAAACATACCGCCGAAGACACCCAGCAAAACACCTCACCCGGTCACATTATACTGACAACGGGCGAACCAGTCGTCATACTCCTAAACTTCTGAGCGTTAAGCAGGAGTAGAAACTACTGTACCATTTTTACAGACTCTGGTATGTCACGGCCAGGGGACAGAACCCAAAGCCTTCCTCACATGGGCGAACGCTCAACTCAAAGCCAAAAGTAAGGCATTGTCAAGGGAGACATTAGGAAGAAGAAAGTTGTTTAGAAAGAAGAGAAAAGATAAGATCCCAAATTTAGTCGCCTCTTACAATCATGCCATTGGGGGAAGCAGGTACAATTCTTACGCCCTACCTGCAGGGACATCGTACTCAAGTAACCAGAACGCAACAAGTAGACATTTTACATGTTGCGGTATGTGGACCTCTATACTTAATATTCACATACATCTTTGAACTTTAAAATAAATAAATAAATCATCCATTCCCCGTAACTCAGTCATGATTGCCTCTATCGGCATCAATTTATTTCGCGCTAGCTTGATTTTAAAAGATCGACAGTGAAAGTAAGAAGTGGTTATATATTAACGAACATATTCAATTAAATACACTAAGTGTTAGTATTGAATGCTGTGCTTTGATATCAATCTATTCATCGGCCACTTTAACGGAACAACATACACGCTAACTGTATACAGGTGGTATAGTATATAGCGTTACGACGGCCCGGGTTTGGTTACCTTAGTAAATAATGTCTATTTGATTTAATAACTATTATATTTGTTTATAATTCCAGGTAGATGCGATCGTAAACAACCCCGAACAATCGTCCTGTGTTTAAATGTGTGAAAAGGTCAGATTTCACGCGGAGGGAGACGGGAGGCCTAACAACAACCTTTGAGATGTGCATTTACGGCAGTGATTGACATTCAATCTAGAAATCTCGAGTTTCGTTCCTGTTTGCTTACACTGTAAGCGGAGATCCAATTTTAATCTTATCAAGAATTTTTATATACTGAGTTTTATAAGTCAGCAACTTATGTTATAGACATTGTGTAATTCACTGTAAGGTTACACAGGTATTCTAAGCATTGTAAGCTTGATCGACAAAAATACAATTTTAAAATTTTGAATATTTCCTAATATTGACAAGCTATATATATATAAAAAAAAACGAAAAGTCGTAGTTTGAAACCCAAAGTATTAGTTATTAGGATAAGTTACGTATGGTCGATATCTTACACAACTGGGAACTATATCAATAAATCCTTTCTTGTGTGTAGGTATCAGGGATCTGTACACTTTTATAATATTTAATAATAACTTGTGTATAGGAAGGTTATAACCACAAGCACATACACGTAGATATATTACCTACCCACATTTCACAGTCCGGCAGATTTATGATTGGAAATCCGGATCTGTGGCCAAACGCCAACTTCACAAATTGTAAATAAATCGTCGTGTTTAGAAAAATGGATCAAGCTTTAATCAATTATAAGAAAGCTAGTCATTGTAAATTGTCGAATCCCCGAGCTGACGGACCCACGCATGCGCGGTCTGTCGACTTTTCACTCAGTAGTAGAATAAAAGGCCATCGGACGATACGTACGTGTGTTAAAGGGGCTCTGGAAAGTTTAGTAGAATGCCCCATCTGTAACACTCATATCCTCGTGACTGAGTCGGCCACAAACATGGACCCAGACAGGACTAATATGAATTACAAGTCCATTAAAGGCAATACAGTTTATGTGCCGAAACTTCTCATATCGGCCGAAAATGGACTCCGAAATTTATGCGACACGTGCAGCAACGATGATCAGGAAGTCACGTGCGTCGAATGTGATCAAAATCTCTGTTTCGATTGCACGAGAGTTCATTTAAAAACAACTGCAACGAGAAGACACCATGTGACAGGCCTGTCGGAATCGACAGGTTCACCTAGGCGCGAAAATGGACAAACGCCCTCCTTCACGAAAGATTTGCTCACTTCATTGAATGGTCTGACGTCATCAACATCGGCCCTTACTTCGGTGCTTGCGTCAGAGAGACCAAAGACTGCAAACTCGGTGATATCACAATTACGTTATAGTGATCTGTATCAAAGAGGAAACTCGCCAAGACCAACAGAGAAAAGGAAGCGATTTGAATTTAAGCAGCTCAATCCAAAGGGATGGGGGACTGATTTCACTCTCGTTACAACGTTTGATGTCGGAAGTTATGTACTGAGCATGTGCGCCGCGTCACGAGATCAGGTTTGGATATCAGAGGCCATGTCATCTGCTATACATCTATATAATATCGAGGGCCAGAGATTGAGGAGCGTCAATGTGCACAGTGAGGTTAGAGACTTGGCAGTAAATAAAGCTTCCGATGAAATTTACGTCACCTGTTTCGCTAATAAAACCATCAAAGTCATAAGCCCCGACAGCAAAATTACCAATTTTCTCACTCTTCCCCTTCACCCTGCAGGCATTGCCATAAATAGTTATGGTGATGTCGTAATATGCGGCGTTGAGGATTTCCGGCGGCGCTACCGACCAGACCAGAGGAATCGTTTATTAATTTACTCGAGGGAAGGGAAACGGAAACGAGAAATCGAACACGGTCAAATGGGTGAACGTCTGTTCAAATATCCGGAGTATATTGATATCAATATCAACGGAGATATGTGTGTCTCCGACATAGAAAGCGAGAGTCTCGTGATCTTACGAGAGGATGGGAGACTGAAGAACGTCTATAAGGGACCTCCGAAAGGGACGCTGGACAACTCGTTTGACCCTCGTGACGTAAAGTGTGACAAAGAGGGAAACATTGTTGTGTGCGACATCAACAATAACGCTCTCCATCTGCTGGACATCAGTGGCGATTTCACTAGGATCCTGCTTTATGAGGAGGATGGGATTTATTGGCCGGACATCCTCGCGATTGACCACCGTAACCATATATGGGTTAGGGAGCTATGGCAACAGTCAATAAAAGTCTTCCAGGCTCTTGGAACGTACTAAATCATGTATCTGTGCAATCCTATTTAAGGGAGGTAACCCTCACACAAAATGTCTAAGGTAACGTATAGCATTAAGTAAATTCTTAGTTTGCCGTGAGAGCTACATGGACAAGGTGTTGACGTGTCGTTCTATAATTCCTATTGACACTTGTAAGTCATATATATTTACATGGATATCTCTTACCTCAGAAGCTATTTTAGAAATAAGACATCAGTGAACTTTCGTATGGCAAAAATCCCATGGAAACAAATGTAACTCGCTGATTCGAATGCTATGTTTTAAGAAAGGACAAACACTTTTAGTTTTAATCTTTCATATAGTTTAATTTTCACGATTTCTCGTTCGGTTTCTAAATGTGTGGTAACATATATTATCTTTTTTTTTAACATGTCACCTAACGTATCATTTGAGTTCCTGCTTGTGCACGAATTAATTAAGTCAGTTTTGGTTGTTTTGGACCACTTGAGGTATTTCTGTTTAGCATGTAGCATAGGACAATTTTTTCCAAACTTTACGAAATATGTCGGAAAATGTCACAGACGGGATATCATTCCAAGAGACTGCTCATGATTTTACGCGTTACATGTATTAAGTGTGTAACAATATGCCTGGAGTGTATCGGAAAATATTGCAATACAGAAGGAATATATTGCGATACGTATCCCGATATATTGTCATAGAAAAAAGGTGCTTAATTAAAAGAAAAATTGTTTTCAAAATGCTATCAAACTGAAGCCATACATTATATGGATCACAAATATTTAATGTTTTTGTTAAGCCAACCATCGATCATGACCTTGCCACTGATTTCCACCGCTAGTAATGGCCTGTGTATTGTTATTGGTATACAATGTATCTGTTAGAAATGCTAATAATTTCCTAAGTTAAAACATTTATCAAAAACACAAAAAAGAAGTTTTTGAAAAATATTGTGACGCGGCGATATCACATGTCTTTATTGCGATACAACACGATATGCCTATGTATTGTGATATACCGGTTTTCTGATATATTGTGATATACCGGTTTCCCCAGATATATTGTGATATACCGGTTTTCCGATATATTGTGATATACCGGTTTTCTGATATATTGTGATATACCGGTTTTCCGATATATTGTGACAGCCCTACCCGTTAATTAAATAGAACTTTCTCCACTTCTTAGTGTTCGCTTAATTCCTTTTGCACAGGTACTCCCGGTAACAGAACTATGCTAATCTGGTTACGTAATTTGAGATATGACCCTACAAACTCTATTGGCAAGTGGGCTATGCATTTTATTTATTTCTAATTTCATTTTAAGACTGTACACGACACTGATATGATTCGATGATATCTCTTCGTTTTAAACGCATTTTGTTAGCCTATGCCCTCCTCAAATCTGGACCTACATTTAAACGTGATCAGTACTGGATTTTAAATGTGATTAGCTGTATTACATGCACCTTAAAACCGTCTTCAGATCTGGATAGACACTAGATTTTAAATGTGTTTTAATTGGTCTAATATCATCTTCAAGTGTCTCGTTTAATTTATTTATTCAATTATTTTATTTAAGGTTTTTGTCTCCAGAAAGCACAAAGAAATTTCATAAAATCGTCTGTCATCAAAATAATATATATTCAATTTAGTAGTCGGTATCACTGCATCAAGATTACCTTTAACTTTCGGAAGATTTTTGGCTAGCTGCCGGAAATAGAGAAATGGTTTCACCGTAATTTTTTTCGATTTTTTCGACTTATCAGTGGATATTTGTCGTGTATATTACACTGACGATATAGTTGTAGAATTCGGTTGTAAAGCTCGTTCACAATATGTCATGTACCCCTTCCCACCGCACTGTACTTTGTCCTTTACTTAGCAGCCCCCTCCTTTACGTTCACTTTGGGTATAACTGGATAACAGTTGGTCGCAGATACTACCAGGTAGCTCGGTCGGTTAAAGGAATTGCCCTGGGTTCAAATCTCAATCGCGCCCCGCTAACGTTTTACACTAAGACCCCTGCTGTTAATTATATCTTATATATTTATTATTTCTCATACAAGTATCGCAATGTATGAATTTTTAAAAGCTATAGTTATACCAGAACAAATAGTTGACGTAGCAATACGTTAATGCGATACACTAACGTAAATGCAGTAAGAGAGAGTGCTGTAGGTAATAAGATTGGCAAATATTGTACAAACGACACTCTCGAAATTCTGAAGCACGAATGTGTGTTGTACAATGTTATATCACACGTACACGTATTGGTATGATACCTCACGAATGTGTGTTTAACAATGTTATATCACACGTACACGTATTGGTATGATACCTCACGAATGTGTGTTGTACAATGTTATAACACACGACCACGTATTGTTATGATAACTCTGAATTTGTGTATTGTACAATGTTATAACACACGTACACGTATTGGTATGATACCTCACGAATGTGTGTTGTACAATGTTATAACACACGACCACGTATTGTTATGATAACTCACGAATGTGTGTTGTACAATGTTATATCACACGTACACGTATTGTTATGATAACTCACGAATGTGTATTGTACAATGTTATAACACACGTACACGTATTGTTATGATAACTCACGAATGTGTATTGTACAATGTTATATCACACGTACACGTATTGTTATGATAAATCACGAATGTGTATTGAAATTATTACAGATATGCGTAGTGTATTGAAATTCTGTAGCACGACTCTGCGTCGTTCTGGTATCACACGAACTTGTATTCACCAAATGTCGTCTGGGTAATTTGATATTGCTGGCACTTCATGTGCACTTTAATGATTGCGCAATAATTGGAATTGAATACAATAGCACGCTGCACTGACGTCCCCCAAACGTTCATTTACTCGTGCTGCCTACGGCTACCATGCGTTGGTCGAGATATTGCTTTATCATTGGACTCTCCATTAACAACTTCCTACGAGAAATTACATGTACCGGTGACCGACTCAGTTAGGTATACGTATAACAAGTTTTTGTAGGCCAAATAAGAAAATATCCCTGTTTCTTGTTTATGTTGTGATACAATGTACAGACTAAACTGTTTTTATTTATTCATTATTTGTCTATGTGGAAAATGGCATAACACCGCGCTAATGGTTTTAAGTTATGTTTAAACTTTTTGCAAAAAAAAAAAAAAAAGTTTATACTTGTTAATATCCTGCTTCTAATTGGCTGAGATTTTTTTTTTATCGAAGTATACACTTTTATATTATGAATGTCAAACTCTAGATTATCAAATTCTAATTACAGAAATAGGAAAACCCGTATCTTTATATTTTGTTATTGAATTCCTCTATGTATAAAAAGGCTGATATAAAAACACAATTATAGACTTTTTATTTGGTGAATTTGCTGTGATAATACCCAAAGAAATACATGTTGACCTCATTTATCGCCTCGGTTAGTACTGTTTTCTTTTTTTGGTAGATACAAAGTATTAAGTCCATAACTATTCAGTATTGATTAAGGATTAAGTAAAGTCAAACATGAGATTTTGTAAAATCAGGCCCTACTTGTATAAAATATCTCAACTTTTGGGACTTCCTCCGGTCTCAGATTTCTCATTAACAGTACATTGCTTGAGATTTCCTCAAGTCTAAGAGCTCCCATAGACATGCATTGCTTGAGATTTTCCTCCACTTTGAGACGTTTTATACAAGTGGCCCCAGTTGTGCTGTTGTTATTTCACTGCATAGTTTATTGGATAACTTGTGTACTTCCCGCAACAGAGTTTGGTGAGGGTGGAGGGTATATTGGACTCACCCTGTCTGGCAGTCTGACATCCTCGATATCCAGGGGTCCTGTGTATAGAGAGAAAGTGAGCGTAATCCCTGGCTATTGAGGATGCCTCCATTCACGTTGTTTGTGATATGTACTTACATGTAATATTCTCTGTGATAAATGGCCTAAATGTAGAGTTGATATCTTATGTTTATTTTTTTACAGGTGTTACTTTGTGATTGTTAAAATTGTTACTTCTTAATTTATTTCATCAATTAATTTGCTGTTTGTTTTTTTGTCGTTTATGTGGAAGAGTTGATTAAAGAGTTAGTGTATGCATTTTTGTTCTGTTTTAAATACATGTCTGATATTGTCCAGACTTTATATTACAATGTAATGAAAGTACATGAAAACTGCATATATATAGGATCTTAAATGAGTTTTCATTTCATATGAGATTTTATGAAACGAGTCTTAGGAGTTTTTATTTTTGCGAGCCTTGGCAAGCAAAAGAATAAAACTTCGAGACGGGTTTCATAAAAGCTTATATGAAATGAAAACAAATTTAAGATACTTTTTTATAACATAATTCAGAAAACTTACATTTTGAAAGGTTTTGAAGCCAAAATGTAGAGGGCTTAATCAAACGGAGACAGCCATTTTGTTGCGCCATTCACAATTTATGACGTCTAGCTAGTCATTGTCCATATTATGACGTCACAATCGATTTCTGACTGGCACAGCCAATGAAAAACGCTCCAGGGTATATTACACTCGTGACATATGTAAAAAATTACACGGGCGAATTCACTGGATAACAGGCCGATTATGTGATGAATCGTATATCTAGTAGAGACGTACGTTTCATAATTATATACCCAACGAGTGGTAGTTGTTTATCTATCTAGAGTTTGTTTATTTTTTTTAACTTTGTTCTTTAACAATTTGAAAATAAATCAATGAGACTTAAATAAAGATTACAACCAACCATCACGAGTTGGGGAGTCGTTTTCACCCAAAACTTTCATATCATATCTAGAAAGTCATGTGTTTCTCTGTGAAGAAAACATTATTCTTTTTCTGTGATTTAAGGAAATACATATATATATGTCATTAGCCAATAAAATGACATTCATGCTCCGGTTGCTTAAAGGTCAATTAACTTAAAGCATCGGTTAGTGGCAAATTCAAAATAGTTGCCAGGACTTTCAAAACAAAATAAATCTTCATAGTGTTTGATATAAAACCTGTGTAATGCAGTTACTCATATGATATACTGTTATAACATGAAATGTTTGTTGTAAATAAACATTCGTGTTTTTCTTGGAGGCTACGGAAACCACGAAAATAAACAAAAACTAATTTAATTATACTTGATTAGTTTTTATTTATATGGGAGTATCCTTGAAAGTTGGTACCACAAAACTACCCAAATGGCTTCAAGCCAAGAAAGAAAATGCCTACAAACATTTCATGTTATACAGTATCGGATATCGATATGATAATTAATTCGCAGATTTATGTAAAGCGCGCACACAGTTTCTTTCTATATATTCTGTTTAAACCCAAAATATAATCATGGTTTCCCCTTCATATTTAAAATTACACTTTTGTTTTGTTTATATCAGATGAATATTTGTTCATTTCTAATAAAAAATAAAATAACTTCCCACAAAACACAATATTACACAGCAACTTCAACTAATCAGTAGTTAGAATTACAAATACCGCACCGAACATTTCTGTTTACAACGACATCACCTTTTGTGTTGCCTAGGTTATACGATATAACATGAAAAAGCCTAGCATTGGGGGAATAGCCAACATTGAATTATGATACACTTGTACAATATGTTAACTTCCTATATGAAATATCTTATAAACTATATGAGACTAAGACATAGAAAAAGAAGCTGTGTAAATCATAAAAATAGAAATTAGAAGAATATCAAAGTTAAAAGAAAATGTTATTAGACCTCAAAATCAATGAAAACAAAGGAAACGATAACAAGGTGACCCTAGGAGAAGTTCAAGGAAAACGAGACCATGCGTTCCGGAAGGGTAAGCATGTTCATTTTTGTTGACGAAAACCGCAATGACCACGTATCTCTGAATTATGTGATGTCATGTTCTCAAATAGAGACAACGAACACAGAAGTCACGATAATGGGCATGATAAAATAAAAACGCTGATTTCTCACAAAAAGATAATATTTTTCAATGAGATCATGATTAAAGTAATCATTTTTAGTCGCTTCAATGTACTTATATTACATATAATAATATATAATATAT